GTGGGAGACCCTCAGATTTGCCTCTGCTCGTGTAAGCCAAGTGTTGGAAATCTCCAGAGCCCACAATATTGTGATAATGAGGACTTGGGAGTGCAATTTTAAGTCTTTAAAACAGAGCACAGTGACCTGCTGTATTTGGTCATAAAACAACAAAAGTGCCTGGTCCATTTCACTGAATAAACACAATGTGCCCAGTGAATGAAGTGCTTAGCTTTCCCAGCAGAGATGGAGCTGAGAGACACATGAGGGCACTCAGAAGGGAGCACACCAGGAAGGGCTATGGGAAGGTGAGCGATGGCAGCATGGACCTGCCAGGGAAACCAAGTGACCTGGTTGGAGATGTGCCTCTCTATGTGTGTGCATGCGTGCGTGCATGCAGCGTGTTTCCTTTGGCATCATTAGATTCAGGCCAGGAACAAGCTGGAGCTGAAATCAGAGCCTTGCAGAGGAGGCCCTGGTGAGGCAGTCAGGGCTCCCCAGTAGGACACATGCAGCCGTCAGGTCCGAGCGTGCAGGTTCTGTGGGTGTGCACTGGAGGTCAAAGGCAGGAGGCAGTTCTTAGGCTTTCTCATTATTTGTCTGTTAGTCCTGGTTTTCGCCACTGTGAAGGTAGAGAAGATGCAGTGGAGTGGAAGGGAGAGGAGGGGAACTCTCTTAGGTGGCACCCAAGTTCCTAGCTACAAAATATGCTGCAGTTTTAATATTTAAATCTTTGATCCATATGACTTTAGTGCGTGGTAATAGACATGGGTCTAATTTTAGTCTTTGCCATGTGGAAAGCCAGATTTTCTAGCACCATTTATTAAAGAGGCTTGCTTTCTTCCACTGAACATTTTTGACCTTTTTGTCAAAGGTAAGGTGGCTGAGTGTGTTTGTGATTGTGTCTACATCTTCTAATCTGTTCCATTGATCCTGAAGTCTATTTTTTGCCAATACCATGCTGATTTTACCAGAGTAGCTTTGTAGTACAATTTCAAGTCAAGCCTCCTGCCTTGCCTTTGTTGCCCAGGCTTGCTCTTGCTATCCTAGGTCTCTCCCAGCTCCCAGAGAACTTCAGGAATGTTTTCTGTAGATCCATGAGGCACACTGGTGGTATCTTAATGAAGACTGCATTGACTCTGTAGAACAGTGTCAGAAGTATGCCCATCTTCACAATGTTGGTTCTTCCAACCCACAAGCAAGGAATATCTTTTCATTTTCTGAAATCCTCTTTGATCTTTTTTTCAGATACTGTAATTTTCATTGTGTAAATCTTTTACTTCCTTTGTTAGACTGATTCCTAGGTATTCCATTTTTTTTTTTAATGTTGCTGAGAAAAATGTGATTTCCCTAATTTCTCTCAGTGAGTTTGTTGTTTGTGTACAAAAATGCTGTCGATTTTTGAATGTTGACTTTGTATCCAGCTATGCTGCCAAATGTGATTATTAAATCTATAAATCTCTTGGTGGAGTTTTAGGGGGTCTTCTATGTAGAGTATCATGTCATCTTCAAATAATGATAATTTCATTTTTTCCCTTCCAATCCTTAGTCCTCATGTTTCTCTTTCTTGCCTAATTGCTTAAAAGAAAGAAAGAATGAACAAAAGAAAGAAAGAAAGAAAGAAAGAAAAGAGAAAATATGATGCAGTGACCAGAAAGAGCAGTCTGAGAAGGAAGAGCACTCAGGCGTTCAAGCCAGAGGGTGCCAATGAGCAAACCTGAAGCTGGAAGCCTCAGGGAGTAGGCACACCCTCAGATCCTGGGGTGCTATCACGCGGTGTCCTTGGTGGGAGTCAGGGGTGCCTGCCTGCCTGCCAGCCCCTGGGCCCCAGTATGAACATGGGGCAGACCCAAAGAGCTGCAAACTTCACCTGGACCCACGGCTTGCCCTCCTGTGGCCAAGTGTGGGACGTGCGACTCTGGGGGAGGATGGGGAGTGCATGTTGGCGCCCTAGCTGCTTGTCTGGTCCTGCAGCTCAGGCTGTGCTGGGGCCCGAAAGGAGGCAGGAGAGGGCACTGATCGTAGAGATGCAGAGGAGCTGACAGAGTCCAGTGTGAGTGAAGGGCGGGTCCTGATGGAGCAGGAGAAGCGGCACGGGTCACCGGAGAGGAGGACCAGAGTTGGGATGTCTTGGCACCAGAGTGTCAAGTGTCTGCACCAGAACCACTAGGGTCATAGAGGAGGGAATAACTGGAGGAATTTGGACAAGATCTTTGGCAGATGCTCTATTCCTTAATGCTACTAAAATAGCACTTGGAGAAGTAGGCTTGACACCAAAACTTAATACTTGGTTCTTACAACAGTGGGTGGTTGTAGCTGGCAGGCTGCAAAGTAGTCAGCACAAACTAGTTCACCTTCTATTAAATTTTCTAGAAATGAGTTGGAGTACCTAACTCCCAAAGCCATGTGGGCAAGTGGGTGATAGAGGGGGACTGTAGGACTTCATGTGCAGCACTTGACATCTAGAATAATTCCTTCTGGTCTGCAAAGAACTTGCATGTATATGACATCACACCATGCTGGAGATATCACTTTTACTCCCATTTTAATCAATGAAAAACAATGAAACTCTGGGACCTGAAGTAGCTGGCCAGAGTCCACAAGGGCCCAGAGTACCTCGTGGAGGTCTGTGGACCGGTCCTAGGAGGACTGTCCAGGTGTGGGCCGTTCCTATGAGGACTGCCAGCACTGAGGGCCGTTCCTATGAGAACTGCCCAGGTGTGGGCCATTCCTATGAGGACTG